AAAAAAGTCACCCATCTTAATCCTATCAACCTCTATTTGACAAATACTCACATAACCCCCTTTTTCCGAACCTTCTATTCTTATTCCACTTTCGCTTTTTGACACCGGCAGACTTTTTCCCAGCAATGGCATTGTCAATTGCCTTTGTAACTTCGTTCTTTAGCGCTTCTTTGAGATTTTCCCTACCCTGCTTCGTTTTTGCAGATGAGAACGCTTTTAGCACTTCTTCTGAACCAATCTTCGTTGTGAAAAACCCTTCCAGCTCCATCAATTTGCCAACGACATCAATCACATAAAGTGCTGGTCTATCAGAAGAACCTTTTTTGATAGTGTATTGCTTGGTAGTCGTTTCGTAGATAGGATGGCTTGTTGAATCGACAACTATCTGTTCAGTTGTACCCTCAATGCATGCTTTCTCACAGCTCTCCTTTGTTTGGAAGTTATTTTCATTCCCTTCACATCCACCATAAACAAATTCGACACATTCACCCTTTGCTGGGTCATAGCCATAGCTGAAATTGATCCGTTAGTCTAATATTTGTAAGAAAAATTGACTGAAATAGTTTAACTAACTCTAATTACCCTTAATCATTTGGTATTACTAAGGTTCAACTTTCAAACATACTGTATGAAGAATGCCATGCAAGGGCCGGCATCCAACTTTTGAGTACATCGGCTGGATTCTCCATAGACTGAAACAAAAATAAATCACGAAATATTGCGTACCGATGGCTGATTCTCACCAACTACAGCAGTTACGAAGAGCAACAGAAGAGGCCGCATTTCAAATGAAATCTCGATCTTCTCGTCATCCTCTGGCTTTATATATTGTCAGACAGCCAGAATTTATTGAAAAATTATGCCGAAGACCTATAAATCAAGAAATATTTGTTTTAATATCATGCATAAAGCGTAATATGTAACTTCAGAAATGCTATTGTAATTGTTCATAAAAGTTATTTTCCCATCGAAATCATAGTTCCACGTTCATACTCACATAAACAACTGAGTATAAGTTGAGCAAAACCAAATCTTGAACAAAACTTGCTTGGAGACTAAGAGAAAACTCGAAAATGGACAAACACATTGAAAGATGCT